CGGGAAGAGGAGAACGAGATATCAGCGGAGGCCGAGAGCGACGCGGTCGAGTTGATGCGCGCGATGTGGACGTCTATGCATTCGACGGCGTGTAATTTGCGGTTGATGATGGCATTTCTGTCTAATCTGGCGCTTCGTCGAGGAACGGAGCCGATCGCGCGTATACGCGAGGCCGAGCGTATGAGGAACGCTATACGTATCGTCACCGACGTATGGAGTCGGAAGGGTCTGTGGAACTCGTATTATTTTGGGGAGAGCATGGTTCGTTTGGTCGAGAGTTCCGCGACGCCGGACGAGCGCGCGTCGCTTATGGAGATCAAGATAACGAGGAAGGCTTCTTCGAGTTGGATACGAGATTACTGGGAATATCTGGCACGTTTAAAAATGACGAAGAAGGATCTCGATGTCGAGTACGAGAAGTATCTTGCGCGTCTGAATACGGCGAGGAGGAATGACGAGAGTTGTGGCAGTGGTTTAGATGCATTGTTCCCTATCTGGAGACAAGAAGGAGACTGACCGATTCGTTCAGTACGTGACAAAGTTGAAGGGTGGACGACAGCTCGAGGCGAGATCTCCGGGCGAGAGAGGAACCGATTGCGAATTGGTTCGAATGTACGTGTACAACGTCAAGGATATAGTCAAGAAGAAATGCAACTGGTGAAAATACGCGAAATTGAGAGTTCAATTTTTGCACTCCGCGTCGGATCGGAAGAAGGAGTTGGTGCGACAGTTAATAGATCGAGTTGCCGATGATCTGGGGAGAGTGCCCGGAATGCGCGGGGAAGCGAGAAGCGTCGAGTGCGACAGTGAATAGGGATGTATCGCTATGACGCTCGCGCGAATTATCGTTAAAGGCATCGATTGTGGTAAAGAATGCGAATTTGCGCGAGTATATGTCTATGTAAAAGAGTATATACTAAATATGTATACTAATTACTGATATGAATACATGTACTAATTATTGATATGAATATATGTATATTAATTACTGATATGTATAAAAATATGTACACGAATATGTATACGAATATATATGTGTAAGAGTATGTATACAAATATGATGTTGAGTAATAAAACAACGAAATATAATGTACGAGATATGCTGAAATAAAAAAAAGCGAAATTGTCATTAATACGCATTGTTGTTGCGACGATTAACTAACCGCGAGAGACGGAGTTTCCTTTCCTCGTTTGTTTGCATATCGCGGAGACGAGAGGCGGATCGGCGACGCGTCGGAAGTCTTTAATTTTGCGATACCAAGGATGACGTTATCGGGAACGTATGAGAGAGAGACGAGAGGTGGGAGTCGCGCGAAGAGAAAATCGTCGTAGGAGTGTTAATAATAACGAGAGAATATTTCATTAGGAATGTAAAAAGAGAGGTAAAGAGTGATGAGGAAAAAAAGATATCTAGATGATTGTGCGATGCGTCATTTTTGCGCTCGCTACGCGTGACTACAGAAAGTCTGACTGCAACGGCGATAAGAGATTTGTCTATCGTTTATTCCATCGTTCTTTATTTGTTTCTATCGCTATTCTATCGTTATGCTTTTTGTTCTCTATTATGTACTTTTAATGATATTGCGTATGAAATCTTTAGCGAGATTCGTCATTCGTTGGCGTGTAATCGCGCTACGAGAGATCTTATATTTGGGCTCGTTCGACGTAAATAATCTCGCTATCGCACAATAGAGAATAGAAATTAAAACGGTTGAAATTTCCGATTCGCGACTCAGATCGATTCATCGCGTTGATCTCCGCTCTCTCGCGATCGATGGCGACATCAATCGAGCGGTTCGCGCGTATTTCGATCGGCGACGCGCAGTGTCGATTCGACTCCCGTCTCGCGCGATGACGCCCGCGCGCGGGATCGCCGTGATCGCGTGCGCGATAGCCGTTATCGCGGCGATTCACGACTCTATCGTCGATAGCGACGAGGAGGCGATTCGGTTTTTACAAACCTACGGATACCTGGATGGCGATAACGTGCAAACAATATCCGATAACGCGACGTTGGCTCTTAGACACGCGATTGCACTTTTCCAGGAGTATTACCGTATACCTGGTGATGGCGTTCTTAATGAAGCTACATTGGAACAAATGCGTAAACGCCGCGATGTGGCGTCAAAGATATATCGAGTGACTTGGACAAGTCTCCGAGAAAATGGGCGAAGACGCATCTCGCTTGAAACTTTCACCTGGCGAGAGCGTTCTAGTCACCGAGGTCGCGTTCGAGATGTGGGCGGCGAATTCGTCGCTGATGTTCGAGCGCGATTCGATAAATCCCGATATCGTGCTATCGTTTCGGAAGAGTTTTCACATGTTCGTTTTCACATCCTCGACATCAAGCCGAATATGTCCGTCGTTGCTGAACGGATCAGGAAACGTGCTAGCTCACGCTTTTTTATCATCGTCCGAAGTGTCGGAGGTACACATGGATAATGCGGAGAGGTGGCACATCGAGCTGACCGCTAATCCTGACGATACGATTCATCTGCTACATACGTTGACGCACGAGATCAGTTACGCGTTAGGATTACATCACAGTCCTCAGAAAAATGCGATAATGTACGCCTTCGTCCCTTCTAAGACCTTTTCCGTGCGATTGAGCGAGGCGGATTTTCTCGCTATTCAGAATTTATACGGTTTAAGAAATAAGAGCGAAGTCTTAAGACCAGCGACGACGACGATCGCGACGCGCAACACGGAGGATTCCGCGAATCTGTGCGCGTTGCGACACGCGTCAATGCGGTGTTGGTGTTAGAAAATAAAACGTACGTGACGTATCGGCGTCACTTATGGTCGGTCGACTTAAACAGAAAATCTTACGGCAGGTCGTTGTACTTTACTGATGAACTATTTGCGTTTCCTTCCTAATAATTTTACACGTTTGGCGGGCGCGTATCGACGACCAACTCGTATTGTTCGTAGACGATTACATGGTTTACATGGTAGAATTTCCGAGTTTCGAGCTAGTACCGGGTTGGCCGAGGAAACTGAAGGATATGAATCTTCTTCCTAACGCAAAAATCAACGCTGTAGTTAAGACTAACGCGGGATGAACGTTCGCGATTTACAACGACGAGATCGTGGCCGAGATCGACGACTGCTCGATGATAGCCGTCAGACATAACTCGTTACACGCGATATTTCCGGGGATTCCACCCGCTGTAACGTCCGCCGTTCGATACATCGATGATAATCTGTACTTTCTCGTTAAACGACGTTCTTCAAGTATAACGAATTTACCAGGAGTGTAACTATGGCCGGTAAATTCGATCCGGAGATTTTTGGTATCGTGTGTCTAAGGGACAGACTGTTAGAACAATTGCACGCTCTTTTGAAAAGACTCGCTCAGATGAGGAACGTATTTTCGAGCGAGGACGATTTAGAAGAGGAGAGAGAGGAGGAAGAGGCACGGAAGTTTTCGTATAGTGTATAGAGCGAAGGATACGAAACGTTTACGAACAGTATCGCGCGATCTCTCCGATCGTAAAGATGTACGATATCGAGCACTCGCAGGATTCCGAAACGCGTCGAGTTGATGAGAGCGATGACGCGAGGAGGAGGAAGAGGACGCTCGACGATGACAGACCGATTGCGTCGAGTCATAACAATGCCGAATAATCCAGTTAGAATTCTAGAACGAAAATATCCCTTGACTAAGACGGGATACAAGTTTCTCAATATATGTGTCACTCTTGAACGTTCCTCGCGCGTGAATATTATCCTGGGAGATAGTCATGGCAAGAAGGTCTCGATGTCGCCCGATACGTGGAGGCAGTTTGTCGAGCAACGACACATTCTCTTGAAGTATCTGCAGAATACTAACGGAGAACCGTCCTTTCCAGCTCCGCGTCGATAATCTCGACGTCGTGATCCGCGATAACGTCACAGCCGAGAATCTCCTCTAATCACTTCTTTTTCTCCAAGCTTTTGACGTACACTCGTTTAGGTGCGTCTCGCGATTGATCGCACACGCCGCTTCGAGTCACGTGCTTCGAGAATCTGTATGCGACGTCGCCGTCGCTCCACTGCCGTGATGATTGGAGGTTATCCAGCACGCTTTACATTTTTCCGTCTTTGTAAGAAGATTCCAGGGAATCGCTTCTCGAAACATTCGATGAGTCAGCTCTTTTCCATTTTTTAATATCGCCATCTCTTTTAACCATAAAATTTCTCCCGAACGGTAGAACCTTGCAGATCGACGAAGATCGGTACGTTCGACATCGTCGCGAGAATTCGATATCTTTGCGCTTCGCTCTTCTTTATACGTTCGTTATCGCTATCGAATAGGGAAAACCGCGATTTCCTGTTTTTTCACGCTCCGCTCTTCCTTATACATTTGTAATCGATATCGCGTAGAGAAAATCACGGTTTCCTGTTTTTTTTTACGTGAGTTTACGTACGACGTTCGTCAGCGGATTATATTCTATAACTCTATCGTGAATGATGAGACAATAAGCCGTTGTGTTAGCCGACGTTCTCTTTGCATTCGAATTCTACGCGAACGTCGACGGTGGCGTTCTTGATCGATTCGTTCTGGCGGGGAGCAATCGATGACCACGAGCGGACCGTATTGCAAATATCTAGTGACAATCATGAACAGTTCGCAGGTCTCGCACCCGTAATACGCCTTTCAAAATTTCAGATACATATCGTACAGCACTGCGAACTTGTTACGCTCGAAATCTAGATTCATATCGTCGTAGGGATAGAACTCGGAATTCAAATAGAATTTTACATTAGTCAGTTTGCAATCGTCGAATTTAGAAACGTCTTCCGATGGTACGTTTTTCCTTCTGGTCTGTAGCGCGAAGATCACGGTTTCGCCAATTGCGTCGCCACTTTTACCGCCCACGAATGCTTGGTCATACTTTGCAACAGTGGAAATTCGTACAGATCCCACGAACGAAAGCCCATGCTCAGATATCGTCCGCTGTCCAGCGTTCGCAGAAGCGACAGTTTGTTAACGTCATTCAGTATCACGTGTGGCATTCGCCATTGTCTTCTCAACAACGTGATCTGCGGTCTCTGATCTGAATGCGCCACGACGCAATTGTTACCGTTGCGAGCGCATATCAGAATGAGTTCGTGTCGCGCGTTTATCACTATGCGTTTGTAATCCTTACAAAAACCGAGGAGTACGTTGAGAGGCACGCAAAAGTTGAAATCGTTCAATGCTATAGGCGGTATTTCCCATCCGGTGTTCTGTAAAGCTCTATCTCTTTCATAGTTTAACGATGCGTAGTTTTTCATCAAGGTCGTTATCCCGACGTTTCTGTTCTTATCGATCTCCACGCCATTAAGCTCGTATCGAATCTCGTCGAACATAAACGTGACGCAGTTGTTGATTAGCTTCTGCTGCGAGTATGGACGTTGACGCAACGCTGGTATGGACATCGCTCGGCGGGAAAAAACAGCGCGAGAGATCGTGAAGATCTCAGAACTCTGTACGTACGTATATACGTATAGAGTATATACGTGTATATACGTATTACGTATACGTATATACGTATACATAAAAAGTACAGAGAGTTAAAGACCGGTGAGATAGAAGAGGAGATCGCGCTGGAGAGGCGACTCAAGCCGATCGTTTAATCGTTGAAGCGAATCGCCGAGAACACCGCGCGAAACGAATCGACCGAGGGAATCGATCGCGTTCGGCGCTAAGAGGAAACGCGAGACCGACGATGACGACGACGAGTCACCGTCGAGACCGACGAAGAGACGCCTCTCGACGAGATCGCTATTGATCGCGACAGTGAGTCCCTAGAAATGAATCGGAGGAATCAATCTCGAAATGGGGACTGTTGGGTCGCAAATATATGGGCGTGCTTTTAAGCGGGGACAGACAGAGCGAGATCGATCACATTTACGGGGTGTACTTCGACTTGGATGGCTCGATGCTTGGCGACAGGCGATTCGACGTGGTCGCCGACGACAGCGTGATCGTGGGCGACACGCGATATCCGGGTATCTCGGGCTTATACGAATTGATCTTCAAGAGACTTCCCGACGACGCCGTGTACACGGAAAACGACAAGCAAACGTACAAGAGTATACTGTTGACTACGAACACTCATCGGCGTGGTCACAACGCGCTTATGCCCATTCTAGGAAACAAAGATTTCAAATACAAGCATATCATCGCGCCGCTATTGCTCGATAGAGACAAAAGTGGCGCTGATACTGGTAAAGCGAGAAAAAAGGGGATCGACTCTGTTCCATCCGCTATGCGGGTGAGAGACAAAGGAATCGAGTACGTTCACTGGGACGATTCCATTTCGAGCTAGTCGATCGACTTCAATTGCTCGATGCCTCTCGATGAGTTGGCAACGACGCTCACGACAACGAGATTCTATCGATACTCGAGGAGTTTCGCGAGAGCAACGCGATCGAGTAAAACGCGGCGCGCGCTCGCGGCGACCGGTATTCCCGTTATATTGGTGAACAAGTTCGGAAGACCGTTGGAATCGTTCGGCGGAGGTGATAGGGCACGCTCGCGACTGTCGATCGATTCCCTACGTCGCTATGTGCGTAACAACGCAATCTGTCTATGTGACGATTACTACGCGAGAGACAGAATTATACGGCGTTTAGCCGCACCTAGAACTGATACTGACACCGCGAGGAAGAGCTACGTGGACAGCGTAGCTCAGTTTCGAGACGCGGAAACGAGAATCTCCGAGACGAGCAAACTCTCGGCGAGCACTCGAACGTTGCTGTCGGAGATGAACGAGAGCACGGCCAGATCGATTGGCGAATTGGAGAAATCTATGGCGCACGTAGTCAGATTGTTTTTCAAATACGATACGCAGATCCCGGATTACGAGCAGATTATCGCGCGCGGTAGATTCGTCATCCGCGAGGGCATGATGTCCGTAAACAAATTCGAGAAGTCTCTGGAGAGACAGCGTTGACGATCGTTCGACGATCGCATCCCTGCGGGCGTACGTGCGGCAGTGCGCTCTGCCTGAATCCGGACGATTACGTCAACAGACGCAAGATACGCCATTTGGATACGCCGATCGACGATACCAACGCGACGACCAAGGATTACGTCGACGACGCGCTTCGTATAAGGAGTGAGGAGTCGAAAGTTCTAACGAACGAGTTACGAAAACAGCTGGAAGATATGAACAAGCGAATTCGGAATATTTTCCAAACAGTATTACGATGTAAAAACCGAAGTGGACGTTCTGCGACACTTCGAGAAGAAGAGAGAGGCCTCGCTCGTCGATCACGACAAACGAATAGAGGAGACGAGAGACGCGATGGAATGAGACCTCGAGAAACGGGACGAATCGCGAGAGAAAGATCTGAGGAAATCCGAAGGATCATCGAGACGCTCGGTGACGCTCAGGAGAAACGAGTGCGAAATCTAGAGGAATCACTGCGACAGGAGAGGAGAGAAGAGAGGCCTCGCTCATCGATCTCGATAAACGAATAAGGAAAACGGAACAAGCGCTCGAAATAGAACAACCAACGAATTAAAGACTTGTCCATGTTTCAACGTGCGCTAGGACGAACGGGGGAAAAACAGGATAAACTGCGAGCTAGAGACTCGAGCGAGATCCGAAAGACCGTCGAGACGCTTGGCGACGCTCAGGAGAAACGAACGCAGATCCTAGAGGAATCTACGAAATCTAGAGAAGTTCCTGCGACGCGTCGTCGATGAGTCGCGAGAGAATATCGACGAACGTGGAGAATCTCGCGCGTAGCGTGACAGATCTGACGAGGATCGCGAGAGAACTGACGGAC